TATATCAACAAACGGGGATGCACGCTCCTCTCCCCTGTGCCGGGAAGCCCTCGCGTTATGGGACTTTTGCATGCAGAATGCAATTCATCTGATGGCATCCTACCTCCCAGGGGTGCAGAACGGCCTAGCGGACACCCTCAGCTGCTCGTTCCACGGTCACGAGTGGTCCCTCCACCGGGATGTGGTACGCTCAATCTTCCGTCTCTCGGGCTATCCCCAGATAGACCTGTTTCCCTTGCGGGTCATCAGGAAGTGTCAACGGTTCTGCTCCCTCATGGGGCGCAGTCCAGGGTCGCTCACAGATGCCTTCCTCCTCTCGTGGGAAGGTGGCCTGCTCTACGCCTTTCCCCCGATCCCGATGGTCCACAGGGTACTCCTCAAGATTCGCAGGGATCGCGCTCGAGTCATACTGATAGTGCTGGCGTGGCCGCGCCAGCATTGGTTCACGTCGCTGCTGCAGATGTCCGTACAGGCGCCCTTCGCGTTGCCTCTGCTCCCGGACCTGATCACACAGGATCGAGGCTGCCTCCGGCACCCGAACCTGGAGTCGCTCCACCTCACAGCCTGGATGCTCCATGGCTGAACCCGGTAGAAATGCGATGCTCACAGCAGGTTAGGCAAGTCCTCCTTGGTAGCAGGAAACCCTCCACCAGGGCCACATAAATGGCCAAGTGGAAACAGTTTTCCATCTGGGCAGAACAGCAGGGGCAGGCTCCGTTGCTCACCCCGATCCCACTCATACTAGACTACCTACTTCATCTGAAACAGCAGGGACTCTCCCGCTCCTTGGTTCGGGTCCACCTGGCTGCCATCTCTGCGTTCCACGCAGGAGCTGACGGTGTTTCAGTCTTTGCAAACCCACTGGTTAGTCGCTTCCTCAAGGGCCTGGATAGACTCTTCCTGCATACGTGACAACCTGTCCCGGCCTGGGACCTTAATTTGGTCCTCTCTGCCCTCACGGGGCCCCCCTCTGAGCCTTTGGCTACATGCTCAGTTTTGTATCTCTCTTATAAGGTCGCATTCCTCGTGGGTATCGGAGTTCAGAGCCCTGATGTCCGAGCCTCCCTTCGCTGTCTTTCACAAGGATGAGGTCCAACTCAGGCCACATCCGGCGTTCCTTCCTAAGGTGGTCTCCCAGTTCCACATGGGACAGGACATTTTTCTCCCTGTGTTCTATCCTAAGCCACACTCTTCCAGCAGGGAGCGTGGGCTGCATTCCCTGGACGTTCGCAGGGCCCTGGTGTTCTATATCGAAAGAACCAAACTGTTCAGGAAATCAGTCCAACTCTTCGTAGCTGTGGCCGACAGGATGAAGGGGCTCCCCGTCTCATCACAGCGTATCTCATGGATCACGGCCTGCATCCGCGAATGCCACAATCTGGCTAAGGTGCCTGCCCCGCCGATCACAGCCCACTCCACAAGGACACAGGCCTCTTCTGCGGCTTTCCTGGCTCAGGTACCGACACAGGAAATATGCAGAGCTGCCATGTGGTCTTCAGTCCATACATTCACATCACACTATGCCATCACGCATCAGGCCAGAGACGATACAGCTTTTGGCCGCGCAGTGCTTCAATCTGCAGTGAACTCTGACCCCATGGCCTAAACTCAGGCTTGTGAGTCACCTGCTTGGAATGGATCTGAACAGTCACTCGAAGAAGAAAAAACGATTACTCACCTTCTCGTAACTGTTGTTCTTCGAGATGTGTTGTTCATGTCCATTCCAATACCCACCCTCCTGCCCCTCTGTTGGACTGCCGGCAAGAAGGAACTGAGGCGGTGGAGGGTCGGCGGACCCCTATATAAGGCGCCATGGAGGCGCCACTCCAGGGGGCGCCCTGGCTGACCCTACGGACGGTGCTAAGGGAAAATCTTCCGGCTGGCGTGCATGCGGCGCGCACACACCTCTGCTTGGAATGGACATGAACAACACATCTCAAAGAACAACAGTTACGAGAAGATGAGTCGCCGTTTTTTCTTAAATTTTGGAGGATTTTTTTAAAGCCACCTTTTATAAAGCACTTTAGATCAGAGCATAAAAACATTCCTCTGTTTTATAAAAGATAATTATCTAAATTAGTCAATGATGAAATCTCTCGACAAAACTTTTTTTCAGATTTTCCAAGAAATGAGATTGCAGCAAGTTTAGGGCCCCAAACAAGAGAGACAATGATCAGCGGCTAAACTGCACCCAGGCAGCATTAGGGATAGAGCCCAGAAAAGAACACAGGACCCCTGCCATTTTAGCTAGAGGAGAATCTGAGAGTTGTAGAGTATTGGGGCTTATAACCCCTCTGGACCAGTGGAAGACATAGGAGTAACATTTTCAAAAGTGCTTAAGCAATTTAGGTTTTTAAGAATCTAAGGGCCAGATATTTCAAAGGTATTTAGGCACCTAAAGATGCTGATAGCTGCCTCATGGGATTTACAGAAGCACCTAAGCAGGTTAGGCACCTGACTCCCATCAAAATCAATCATCCTGAAGAGAATTGTGCTCAAGATGGAAAACTTTCTGGCTGAAGAACAAGCCAGGGTTAGATCCAAAAGAGTTACAGGGGAGCAAATATTTAGTCTGCCTGTGCTATGCGAGAAAGTGTTGGCGAATGATGGGAAAGTGGTCCCTGTCTCTGTGGATTTTTCTAAGGTGTTTGACAGGATATGGCATAACCTCTTTGAGCAATCCTGCAGCTGGTCAGACTTGGTGGAAATGTAACAAGGCTGATACAAATTCTCTGTGAAAGTGCAATGGCTTCAGTGTTCATAGGGTGTGAACAAAGTAGTTGACTTGATTGAAGGATAGGTGTCAGACAGGGCTGCATGCTATCACCAGTGCTCTTCCATTGTTCTCTTGAAGAAATGTTAAGATGAGCCACTGATGGAAATTTACAGGCAGGCATATTCATTGGTGGATTAAAAATTAGTCATCTGTGTTTTGCTGATGATATTGACCTGATTGGATTATTGCAAGAAGGGGTGCAAAAATTGCCAGAAGGAGCAGTAGTGGAAGACGTTAGGTCTAAAGATGAAAAAACAAAGACAATGGTGACATCTAAGTCTATTGAAAAGATGATATCTCTGCCCAAATCTGAAGAGGAAGAAAGCCTCTAAATGTCCTATTTTCTTAGCAGTGCATTGAATAATTTAAATACCTGGGTACTATCACTATAATGGATGCTAAACTTCTCTTAGAGAGCCAACCTAGAATTGGACTTGGGACCACTGCTCTAGCGACTTTCAGACGACTTTCAGTTGGCTAAGCAAGAGTGTTAGCATGAAGTGTAAAAATGAAATCTCTGCAGTCTCTTGTCTTCAGCATCTTGCTATATGTGTGCGAGACATGGATGCTACGGAAACCGGACATTAAGAGGCTTTCTGCCTTGACATTGAAATGGTGATTGCTGCGCAGTAACTATACTTCTCACATGACAAATGATGAGGTAGGTAATCGCCCAAATTTAAAGCATAACTGGAGTGATACCTGATATCAGTTTAGTCAGACAAAGAAAACTTGAGTTTGTGGAACCTGTGGGTTGGATTAGCAGAGGAAGATCACCAAAGCAAGTTTTGCAGGGATTGGTGCCAGGGCATGGGGCACCTCAGTGAGGGTGGTTCAACAATGTGGCTGACAGCATGGGATGCAATATGGCACACTTTTCAAGGCTGTGTGAAGACTTGCAAAATGTTGAGGAAGATTGCTGGCCAATGACTCCTGCATGCTGTGTTTACTGTTCATTGTGATGTGAGTCTATGGTGCTTTGTACTATGAGAGACTGTATATGTTTATGTACTTACGTTGAGTAGTACTTTAATTCACAGTGAAATTAATGAGTCTGTTCTTGGAGGAAGGTACAGAATTGGATCCTCTAATATTATTCCCTCAAATTAGTGGATATTTAACCATCATGTCTTTCAGGCAATTGCTATGTCTTTACTGTTACTGTTTCATTCATTTTAAATGTAGGCATATGATAATAGCTAAAAGATACCTCTTATTTTCCCTTAGGATTGATTAATAGATATTCTTCCTACACTGACTGCAAGTTCACCAGCATAGCTGAGTTCCTGGGTGTAGATGTTTAAATGGGAGGCATAACATATGTCTTCAGTATTAGTGCTAATTAAACTTTATACAGAGAGATTCCACGTTAACAAATTGATTTTTTTTAAAATATATTTGTAACATTTGGATTATGGTATTTCTTTAATGTCTTCTTACATGAAACTTTGTATTTTGAAGTGATTTAAATAGTGTTTTTAATTAATCCCTCAGTACCTTAACTTGTCTTTAGTTTGCTGTTTACTTATTAATTAGGGAGGAAAAATGAATTACATGCATTTTATCATAGCTGAGCTCCACTAGGTAACTAGTTTTATAATTTGATCTATTAACCTCTCTTAGTATGGAAAAATTCTCAGCATGGAAACAAACTCAAGCCAGTATGCCATGGTCTCTAACAACCGTGATCCTAGTATCTTAGCAAAAAGCTGAAATGCCAGTGCAAACAATTCTCACATCTCCTGTATTACTCTTCATATGTGAAATATGTACAGAGTTTATGGGGTTCAGAACATAATAATTCTCATAGCTGATCTACGTGCTTCTGTGGCAGCTCTTGAAAGAAACAGCAGCCAGTTGTTTTCAGGCAGCCTCTGCTACCTCATTTCATCTTCTGTTGGCAAGTTTTCTATTGATGACTTAGCATAGCTGTAGAGAAACCTAAGGCGGAGAGAGGTTGCAGCCTTGTATGTCCAGCTGAGAATGAGTTATTGACACTCTTCACATAAGAGAGGATGTTGCAATATAAGCCTATTAACAGTAACTGTAGAATGGTAGTTGCTTTTTTTCCTAAATAATTTTCATGTGATGAATTATTTTTATTTTTCAGTCTTTATCTTGGTATAATTCATTCAGACTTCTGCAGTGCAGTTTTTAACCCAAAAAGCAAAAATATTCTGAAACGAGACAATTACATTAATAAATAATTGCTGCTTTGTTGCAGATGACTCTAGCTGCATCGGGGCTCACTTATCCTTGCCATCGACTTACCGTAGGAAGAAGATCTTCACCTGCACAAACCAGAGAACAGTCAGAGGAGGTAAGAAAAATCTGTCAGCTTTACAAATATACTCTAGGAGGGAATGGCCAGTAGCCTGTTCTGCACTGGTCATTTTCTCCTCTAGTGTTGACTACTATGGACACATAAAATGAATCAATCTACAATGCCTGTACAAGATATTCAGTAGAAAGAAAGAAAAAGTGGAGCTGACGGAAATGAGGGAAGAACCAAAGCAAGGGAGTCATAGTGAGGTACTATTAAAAATAATCAAAAGAAAACTAAAAAGTAAAATGTATATAACTTTTGAATCCTTATAGCCAGTACTGTTAGTGACGCCTGTAGTTAAAGTTGCCTGATGTATTCCCTAATAAGCTTCTGCTTTCAGTTGCTTATAACTTTGAGAGACTATTTGGGCTGAAATTTTCCCTGCTTGCCTTTCGCCTCAAGTTGAATTTAAAATAGGCACCTTGCCATTTTAAACAATTTTTTCCAACCATTTTATGTAAAGTGCTCTAGCACCTTAAGCCCTGGCTTGATGGGCAAAAAGAGGGTGTGTTTCAATCTTATTAGCACAGTCGAGCTGGTTTACTGTAGTTATAAACCACTGTCAAGATGCAGGCTAACACTCTTAAAACTGTATTAGCCTAGGTTCCCTCCTAGGCTACAGCTGAGTTAGCCAATACCTAAATACTATGGTAATCTGCTGGCTAGAGAGACAAAATAGATATGGGAAAGTGAACTGGATTAGTCTGGTATAAACATCAGCAACAGAATTGTTAACTAAGTTCAATAATAAGGCTAAATCTTGTCCTGTGTTACACCTATACAACCTTATTGAAAAAAGCTGAAGTCTGATTTCCTAAAATGTTTTATGAATCTAAGATATTAAATCTATGTGATTTGCACAGTTGAGGTAATTGAAAATAGTGGGTTCTTCTTCGAGGAGTGTCCCTGTGGGAGCTCCACTTTAGGTGGCTTGGCGCTTGTAATCGGAGATTTGTAGTAGCAGTGCCCCAGTTGGCCACACATGCGCAGTAGCCATTTCGCGCCGCTCCGAGTTGCCACTTAGCGTGCGCAGCCAAGCATCCCTCAGTTCCTTCTCTACCGCTGATGGTGATCTAACTACAACTATTTCTATAGATCTGGACCTCCTCAGGCATGCCTGGTTCCCCGGCTTTAAACGTTTCCTGACCTGCAGGCTATCTATTCCTGTATTGGATGGTCACGCTCAGTGCATACGCTGGTTTTGGGAAACCCGTATACCACAGAAGTGTCCACATTATAAGAAATTATCTGCCAGGACACTGAAAGCAAGGGACCTCAAACTAAAATTATTAATGATGGAGAAATCCCTCAGGCCAGCCTCCGACCCAGAGTCCAGGACTCCTCCTGGCCAATGGTCTCCAGCAGCAGCCTCAGACAAGGGCTCCACACAAACCATGTCTAAGGAACCTGCATCTAAGAAGGCGACCAAACATCGGTCACAGTCATCGCCACAAAGAGATTCCCCCAAAGAAGAAGCGGTCTCCTGGTGAGAAATCTGCCCCAGTACCAACGGCACCGAGAACCTCGGACCAAGAGGCACCGGGACCGTTCAGTACCGAGACATCCTGACGCACCACAGCACCGACACTGCCAAGCTCTCACTCAGATGCACAAGCTAAAGCTAAGCTCCCTAGCTTGGCCCCGACAGTCCCAAAAAACACCTCGGTACCAGCTAGTGTAATGGCACCACCTGCTACATATACACAGCCTCACAAGACCTCGGCACTGTCAGAGCATACTACGCTGCCATCCACGGCACCGAGCTTCCTGGTACCACAACCCTTTACCAGACAGGCAGACCTAGCAATCTTCTCCATGCTGGGAACACCCCTCTTCGGCACTGACGGTACCCCAGTCAGACCAGAACTAACCCGAATAGGCACTCCTAGCGGATCTGCATCTCCACTATCTAGTGATGAGGATGAAGAGGATGATTCAGGTCTTTATATCCCTCGTCATTCCTCCCCGAAACTGGGACCCTCTCACCAACAACTTTCTATGCCAGGGCAAAGCTGGCAGGCACAACCATGGATACCACCACCCACTGTTATGCCACCCAATTGGCCATACTGGGACCCATGGACAATCTACAGAGCCCAAAATCTTAACCCCCCCAAAACACCAGCATCAAGGGCCACCCAGTCCCCTTCACCCGCAAGCCCACCACTATTGGAGGCCCAGGAGGAAGAGGGAGAGGAGCTGGAAGAGGCTCCTGAAGGCGACACACTGCCACCCACCCATATTTTATCCTTGTCCCCAGATGAAACAATTATGCCACCGCCTACCACCACAGGTGATAATCTCAAGTCCTTCCAGGACTTATTCAAAAGAGTTGCAGAATCCCTGAACATCTCTTTAGCAGAGCTGCCAGAGACCCAGCACAAACTTACTGACATCCTGCAGGCATCCCCATCAGCAAAGATAGCTCTGCCCATTAACACTGGTATAATGGATCTTGCAAAGATTATATGGCAGACACCGGCCATTGTCCCACCCTCCTGTAAATGTTTGGACAGAAAATATTACTTACCACCAAAAGGGGCTGAGTTCTTATTTACTCACTTGGCTCCAAATTCACTGGCCGTAGAGGCAGTAAACCAAAAGGGGAAAACAGCACCAGTCAAAAACCACCCCTTATGACAAAGACTGGAAAAGGCTTGATCTCTTCGGACGCAAAGCCTATTCCTCAGCCTCACTGCAATTTCTCATAGCAAACTACTCTGCTCTGTTGGCGAAATACACCTACAACTTGTTTAATAAAATGACATCTGTTATTGAACAAATACCGGAGGAGTCAAAGGAGCAATACAAAGCTAACATTGCGGAAGGCTCCTTAATTGCCAAAACAGCACTGCAGGCCTCCCTTGAATCTGCTGACACAGCAAATCATTCCATCGCCACGTCCGTGGTCCTGTGTCAAGCATCATGGCTCCACCTCTCTGGATTTCCTAGGGAAGTACAAGCCACAGTTGAGGACCTGCCCTTTGAGGGACAAAAACTATTTGTGCAACCCACAGATGCATCCCTACGTACCTTAAAGGACTCGAGAACCACCTTGAAGACCTTAGGTATTTATGTCTCCCCAAACAAGAAAAAACAGGGCAGATTTTATACCCAAAGATTCCATCCCGCCCCATACTCCCAACCCCAGAGACAATACGATCAACACCGCAAGCAAAAACAAGCGAGGTGCAGGCAGAACCAGGATCAAACTGCCACGTCTCTACCTTCAACATCCCGTCAATTGTTTTGAAGTAATGGTCAAGGGCTCGAGACCTCTATTTTCTCCCATGCCGGATTATCAGATGACCTCCTGTCTCTTTGGAGACCGCTTGCTACCATACTACCGAGTCTGGAACAACATCACTACAGACAAATGGGTCCCGGAAATCGCCCAGAAGGGTTACTCTATCCCATTTATTTCTACTCCCCCTATCCACCCACCTTCCCTGTCCCTCTTCAGGGACCCCTCTCACAAGATCCTGTTGCAGCAGGAAATAAACCATTCCTGCAACTAGGAGCTCGTGGAAATAGTACCACTCCAACACAGGGGAAGAGGGTTTTATTCCCATTATTTTCTCATGCAAAAAAAGAACGGGGGCTGGAGACCATTCTGGACATATGCAAACTCTACAAGTTTGTAAGGACGCAGCGCTTCAAAATGGTTACGCTGGCAACCATAATTCCAGCATTAGAGAAAGGAGATTGGCTCTCGTCCATCGACCTACAGGACGCCTACTTTCATGTCACATTCGTCCAGCACACAGACAATTTCTGCGCTTCACACTAGGCCATCAACATTACCGATACACAGTACTACGCTTCGACTTGTTGACATCCCCAAGGGTATTCTCCAAAGTCCTAGCCGTCGCTGCAGCTCACCTCCTCAGGCTAGGGGTAATGATCTTCCCATACTTGGACGACTGCCTCATAAGAGCACCAGCTCAGCAGACAGCAGTACAAGCTACACAAACCATTGTAACCCTCTTCACGAGCCTAGGGTTTCAAATAAACGTCCAAAAGCCCACCCTGTTCCCTGTCCAACAACTAGAGTTTATAGGGGCCTATCTTGACTGTCCCGCAGCACAAGCGAGATTACTCCGATAGCGATACCTCAACCTAACCAGGCTGATAACAACAATCACAGACAGCCCCCAAACATCCTCCAGGACCTACCTACAACTCCTTGGGCATATGGCTGCTACAACTTATGTAGTCAAACATGCCCAACTGCATATGAGATACCTACAGGCCTGGCTCCGCACCTGCTATATACTACACAAGCATTCCCTCCTCAAACAACTCACTATGCCCCGCAGAGTGAAGGATTCCCTCAAATGGTGGATGCTACCGCAAAACATCTGCTTGGGGGTCCCATTTCAACAAAAATTTCTCGCTTTAACGATCACCACAGATGCCTCCCTACTGGGACGAGGAGTCCATCTGGACACCACCACCATCCAGGGATGCTAGTTCCCAGCGGAAACCAACCTACATATAAACATTCTAGAGCTCTGAGCAGTCAGAAAAGCATCCAAACACTTCCTTCCACTTATCCACAACAATACCATCAATGTCTTCACGGACAACGCAGCCTGCACGTTTTAGATATACCGACAAGGCGGAGCTCAATCATACCCTCTCTGCATTGAGGCACTACACCTATGGCAGTGGTGCATATCCAACATGATCGACATTTCTGCAGCTTACCTGCCAGGACTGCAGAATACCACGGCAGACCATCTGAGCAGACACTTCTCTCAAACCCACGAGTGGGAGATGGACTACCCGACTCTCGTGACCATATTCAACGAGTGCGGGTTCCCTACTATAGATTTATTCGCAACCGCTCACAATACGAAATGCCCTCAATATTGCTCCTGAGTAGGGCTCAGGCATCGCTCACTGAGCAATGCCCTCCTCACAAAATGGGAAGCACCACTAATGTACATGTTCCCCCCGATTCCTCTACAGAGCCGGGTGCTACACAAAAT